TCTCAATGTTTCCATCCAAGCTCGAGGGATCACGATGACTTCATACTGGAAGGTGTACTGCATTAACAGTAAAACTGATCGTAGTTTCTCGATGCCCTTCTCACAAGCCACACGTTCCCCATTTCGTGGTCTCCGCCATTCGTTAGACGGTGTTTCGACATGCGTGTCACATAACCGAGCCCCACAGTTGGTGGTCCTGGGTGTTTTCTTCGATTGATGTACCTGCTGCACAACCAAGTACGTGTTTTCTAATTATCTGGTTACGATCTCGTTAACGCCATCCGACGCCAGGAACGCTTGTGAGGCATAAGTGGTAAAAAATCTGGAGACGTCTCACATCACTTGTCCGCGTAGATCATGTTTCACAACCATACTACAATACAGCCCTTACTGTAGCCTCATACATACAACCCATGAGGCACGGTGATATACCGTTTCGACGCGTATTAGCCAACGTGATTTGAGTTTTAGGGATTCTTGATTTGACTTGATCAGAGACACTTCCGTCAGAGATAAAACAACTACCGGGTTGTGTAAACTTCTCCAAAACATCCAGTGATTTTCCTTGAATTGTAAGCTGTATGTTTAGTGGCTGCATGTTCTGGAGCATTATTTTGCACCTTGAAGTTGCTAAGTGCATACTGAAATATGTCATGATTATGAGAACAATACCTTCTATACACCATTAATTCGTAATTCTTACTCTATATTTTCAGCTCATGTACTACAGTAATTAGACGATTAAAGCGTGTATTACACCCTTTTATCCTGGCTTACTTCTCTAACTGAAATCACTCGACTCGCAACAGTTGGTTTATACAAAAGAGCTTGTGCTGCGCTTTAGTCTTCAAAAATGAGGGCGATATCGTCTGCGTACCCAAGATTGAGAACGTTCTCACCATCAACAATGTGAAAACCTGACTTTAAAGACATTCAAGGGTTCGCCTCATTATTTGATCGACGATGAAGTTGAACAAGAATGGAGAGCGTGGACATCATTGTCGGACACCACTTTCTGTAGGAAAGCTTTCGGAGAGCTCACCATACACTCACACGCCCAGAAGTATGTGAATATGGGGACCGGATTATGTTCACAAAATTCTGAGGTGTACTATGTTCATCAAGTGTGGTTAACAGCACTGACCGATCGATGGAATTGAACACATCTTTGAAATCTAGGAATAGCAAGATTGTGTGTTGCTTGCACATGTGGCGTTGTTCTAACATCTGGTGGAGTGTGAAGACGTGGTTGATGCAGCCTCTGACCGGTCGAGATCCCGCTCGATGCTCACTGGTCAATGGTTCTCGTGCCGCCCTAAGACGCCGAAGAACCAGCGATGTCAGAAGTCGAACTAACACACTGAGTACCCTTTTTAAAATGGGTATCATTATCGATTTATCGCAGTTGTCTGGAACAGCCTCTTCCTCCAGGATAGACATAAACTGGCTAAACAGCCAGTGACTGAGAAATTCGCCACCATCGTTGAACAGAGCAGGTGGAAGGTCGTGAGGGCCGAAAGGAAGATTACTCTTGCGTGAAGATATACACTCGGATGCTTCTGAGGCTCAGGTGGGTTCCGTGTTTACAGTCCATTTTTCTGTTGAAGTCCTGAAGTCCATATTGGAGGTGCCAGGTGGCCAACTGAATCGTTCGAAGTATTGTGCCGAACCGTTCAAACTTTCGTTTTTGGATATCAGAGAGCCATTTTGGTTCCTTATAATTTCATCGACAAGAGGCTTCCGAGGACCAGTGGAGCAAATCAGCTGGGAAGACTTGCGAATGTTTCCAGCATTTTCGCCTTTTACATTTCTTCTGACTTTCGGGTCCACCAAGCTTCGCGGTTTGCACGGACTCTCAGTTTTACCCGGCGTTGGGTGATGCGTCGTGGGTGAGATGGCTCAGTGGTTAGAGCGAGAATTTACTAACCGGAAGGTTTATGCTTCGAACCCGACCTCTGCATCTCAAATTCTCCAGTCTAGGCTTGGGCAAACTGACAGGACCCGAGCTCTTGTGTCTCCTTCTGGTGACATGGTGGTCGAGCATCAAAAGGGTGCCACAGCTGGATGAGTTGAGTTGTTGTGTTCTATAGGAATCTGTCGCCGGGCCTCTAGCAAAGCCACAGCCCCATTAGGGGTCCGATGTTTGGATGAGATTGGCTTGGTTGTACAACAAACGGAAGTTCCAGCTCTGAGTGGCACTATGGATATTTGTTTCTAGTGGCCGTTAATATCCTACATAGGACTGTCCGGTAAGGATCCCAGGAGCTGTTTCTGAAAGTTTCGTTTGATTCCTGGATCCGCCAAGAATCTAAGCTAACTTAATCTATCCTAGCTAAGCTAGGTGTGTGCGTTTTGCATAATGAAAAGTAGCAGCGTACAAGTGCATGCTCGGAGTCCACTCTTGTATCCCAGAAGGAGTGGCACGCAGTGCTCTACTCTCACTATCGATAACTGACGGCGATGTGGTCTACTTGGATTCGGGACTAGTTCGTTGGTGGGCACCACGTGCTCAACCGATTTCCGATGTTTCGGAAATTGGTATTGCAAAGGAACAGTCTGTGATGGGCACACATCCGAAGTAGACTTTTTCCGTTGTCCGTGCGTCTCGTATCCACCCCAAGATGACCACCCTGTCGGGTTTCAGCAGCGCTTAGTTTACCGACCTGGGAGTTCATGTCATCACCAACCACAATGATGTCTAAGCCTTTAGCCCGTTGTAAAAGAGCACCTGAAGCGTCATAGAAATTCTTTGGCAGATTCATAGCTGTAATCATTTGGATCGTAAGCAAACAATAAACAGGGTGTGATGGACTCCATTTTCCCCAGATTCTGTTGCAGACTTTGCCAAACGATACACACAGAGACGACTATCAACGAGTGTCCAATCAAGTGGAGACGCTTATGCTTGGTCACTCAGTTCCGTACCCATGCCGACATATCCAGTTACAGCGGCCTGTGCTTCACTAAACAGACCGATGGGCAGCCACTTCGAATACAGTAATCGAATCTTTTATCCTCGTTTCTGACAGGCTTCATACATAGGCAACCCAGCGTACGAGCAAGATCCACCTGTTGTCACGCTTGCTTCAGTGTGCGAACACTAAAGGCAGCTAAGTAGACATGTCTTCGGGGTTTGAAAACAGAATTTAAAATGTTTAGGGTTGGTACTGAAGTCGGACGTACAGAAGCTGCGGCTGAGTGATGCATGGTGAACAAGGCGATCACTCCTGGTGCTAGGACCTGTTGAGGGAGTATTCAACTTGGGGTGGGATAGAGAAGAAGAGGGAAAACTTGAAAGTATAAGAAAGGAGGCGTCAGCAGTAGGGTTTCTTTAACCCGCCCTGCTGTATGCTGCAAGTAAGGAGACTTGACTGGTGATTCCACGCGACGGCGAATGTGGCATGAGATTATTTTCAGTTGTCATTGTTGTACGTTGGCTGTACGTGAGATACTGCCAGAGTTAAATAGGAGGACAATTGAGGAGCTAGACCAAAACCTTTGGCTAGAAAGCCTGACCACAAGACAGCTGTGCTTGGCTGGAGATGCAACTGCATTATCATTTTTATGGAACAAGTCGCCACACGTGTTTCAACCCCGCCCTGTGTGGCCAGGAGACTGTGTTGGTCAGTCCTCTAACCATTGACTAATCTGGTGTGAGAGACCCAATGGGTGTCGCACGCACACCACCCAGCATTGCTCAATGGGTCGCCGAGGTACATAAACCATATACCACGGTAAGTTCCATTCTCTTCGTGACTGGTTACCGATCTGCTGCACATACGATATTGTTTTGGGCCACAGATGGGTCCAGCGCTGATTCTGCCGGATAGTTGCCCTACTAGGGTGTAATGACACCGCTTCTGCTCTGTCATCGGCATGGACCGTGTGGGTGGACTGCGGACTGCACATCAAAAGTTTCACTTCTTCAACAGGGTCATATAGTCGATCTGTTGTATTTTAATGAATACCGAGTCGTATTCGTTACGAATGATTTTAAATTCTTATGGTTAGTATTTTGTACGCTCATGGCTCCTATAGCGCCATCAAGTAGGGCCAAAATGGACGTGACGGAACAGCTCTGGGTTCCACCAGGTTTAGTACAAACAGTGCACATTTAGCTTTGTAAGCACGTCCCAGCTTCACACGGAAATCAGATGGATGTCAGAACTTGTGGCCAATAGAGGTCGAACTGATTTATCATTAGTATAGAGTGAGAAACTAACGAAAGTCGGGTAAATTCTTCTTGGCTGTCAATGCCTCTTGATGTGCTCTTTCGGTACATCAGTCTCTGTGTTTTCCTTGATCTGTCTCTGCATCATTTTCGTAACTTTTACCAAACCCCTGGTTGCAAAACGGACAGTGGTGTGAGAAGTGCCGTCCATCGCACAACTAGTAGGATGTGCATGGTTTTCGTGAGATCCTGTTTGATCCGTTTGCTTTTCGCAGGTTAACCTGAGACAAGTCCTGTAGCGTGAACAGTTACAAGTCCAAGCTCAGTGAGTGTAGCTGACAGAATAACGTTCATTTTATCCGAAGTGGATTTCAGGGTGAACAAATTGGTATCCGACTTCAGTCGTCTTTGTCGTGTCAACGTCGAGACAACTCTCCGCTGATGACGACTTTATGCGCGGTTAGGGTTCGACTACATTGCAAAAATGTGTCAAAAAACGAAAGATTTGTTGATTATTGATGGTATGTTTGTAGCTTGTTTTCGATCTCTAATGCGCCCACCTCAAAGGCACCATATAGTTATATTTATTACGACATTCCTTCAAAAACCCGATTTCGCACACCACATTCTGACAGTTTTTTTTCATTCTCTTAGTGTGTCCCCGAACGTCCAAAAATCAACAATTCACTTCGTGATTCATTTGTGAGGTTCACTTAGGCGACTTCTCTTGGATTCCTAGATTTTGTATCTTATTCTGTATGCAGGTTCACCCGCACTGATGAGCAGTTCTAGCAGTCCGCATATCCACCCGGCTTTCCTTTTTTTCAGCCAGCAAACTGCCAACACGGTTTGATGCACCATGTTCATGACCGCTACATCTAAATGGTTGGGTCAACTCTCCCACAACTGTGCATTTGCATGTTCCACATCAGTGCGTTCCACCCTGGGGCGTATATTTTACACAACTGACTCTCTTGATCAGGATGGATTTCATTCTGATGAGGCGGAAATCCGAAATCCCCTTGATGATGAGAAATCTCTAGTCAGGAATTACCGAGTTCGCCAGGGAGGAGATATGAATTCAATACATATATTGGGGACCGTCACTGGCATCAGAGTACGTTTCCCGTTTTATGTCTTGGTTAGCTGATGTAGGAAGGTTGAGGTAATCTCATCGGCTTCAATGAGCATTATTAAGCCTATGCACTTAGGTGTATTACCAGGCGGATGAGCAACAACGGTTCACGAGATCACTTTATAGTGGGTTTGTCCGTGTACCCCTATTTGGTTGGTTCAGGACCGTTCAACGCTTCACCTAAGCGTAAGATAACAAAAACGGTGTTGCAGGATATGGTTTTGTGATCCCAACGTTTCGCCTTCCATGTGCAGCATTTATGATGACTTTCTATGAACAACTGAGTTAAACAGTAACACGAGTTAGGCGTCGTGTGTTTTACCTCTGTATGGTTGTACATTGGTTTTTCCGACTGGTGGATTCTGATAGGGCTGATGGACGATGGGTAAACCACGTTCTCTGAAGTTTGTGGCGTGAATAAGTCGTGGTGAGCTAAACGAGGCCAAATTCTTGCAAAATAGTTATGACATAAGTGTTGTACGATTGTTCTAGGCAACTTCCTTGCGTGATTTAACTAGACTACTAATGCAGGCGATCTGTGGGTTTTAATTGTGCTTAGTCTGTTTGGCTTCGGTTCATGTAATGTGTTGGAAAAAGTCGAGTTTACCAAAAAAACATAGAATACTAGGACATTAGAAACACTGGTTTTCTGCGGACGCATATGTTACGCTCACTTTGCCGCAAATTTTCCTTAAACTGTACGGTTTTTGTACCGCAAACGTATGTTTGCGAATGGTGCGCTCTACGTCAACAGCCGAAACTATCGGTAAGCATCGTTTGTTTTACGGAATCAGTCAAGTAAATGATTTTTGTCAATACACATTTCTTGTTACCTATTTAACTGCATTCGACAGTTTAAGGTAAAACTATCAGAAAATTATTTTGCAATAAGCTGGATATAGCTCAGTGGTTCAGGCGCTAAACCACTCCCTGAAAGGCCCATAGTCCGAAACTGATCCTGGCTTTTGGGTCGCTTCTGTTTGGTCTTGAGCAATTGGACAGTTTCTCAGCCCTTGTGCATTTTCCGCCTGGCAGCTATGCACCCAAAGTTTGTCACGGCATAATGATTGTTAACTTTTTTCTGTTCCAAGGCCCGGTGGTGCCGTACACACTGAACCACTTTAAATCCCTCGCACCTCTGTTAGGTATGTGTAGTTCCAGTTACTTGGCAATGAATCAGGAACTGGTAAACTTCTGGCATGAAACTTTGGGTATAGGCTACTTGTCTGTGTTCATTTTCGCACAAATCAAACTTAATTTTATTCGCTCCTTCGCTTTTAGTTTTATCCCATGCAAAACAAACCAGAACGGGACTGGGCTGCTATATTCGTCCGAACACGAACCCCAAAAATTTCTACTTCACCTCCGGACGAAGCTGTTCTCGTGTCCACGTCGAACCGTGTTCACGTGTTCGACTATCGAGTTATGAACATCGCACGACACCTAAAGTTAGGTGACCGACTCTTTGTTTCTGGTTTCTTGTCTTATTACAAACAGCCTTTAGCTGATTCCGCACCAGTTGGTGCACCAGTCCCCAAAGTTTGTTGCGTGGTAGCCCAACGCCTGGTGTTCATGGGCTCGATCCCTTTCGCGCCCACGGACGCGAACGAAGAGGTTTCTCTTTAGGACACAAAACGCAATTTTCCTTCTTTTTTATCGCGCCACACCAGATTTCGGTGCTATCACTGCATTTTCCTCATTGCATTTTTCTCTCATCCTGCGCTTTTGTTACCTACCGACTATCCAAGAGTGTCCATAATAAATATATTTCTAATCTGTGGTTTGACCTTTATACAATGCCTGTGATGTCCCAACAATTTTGGCTATCCTTATCGGTTTTTGTAAGTAGACAGCTGAGCTCTTACTTGAATGGTAGATTAGCAGAGGTGTAATTGTCGGGGCTCCTGTTGATATTCTGTAATCTACCCGACTGTCGAGGCAAGACGCGACGATTTGGGCATGGCCACCTACTAGCAGCCTGTTAGAGGTGCATGTGAAAATAGAGTGCCAGTTTAGGAGCACTTGAGGATGTCATCAGCGTTACAGAATCGGGCTTCAATGTCGAGATTGCACTTCACATAGATTAGTCAAGTACTACGCTCCCCAACAACGCACTGATGATTTCACCTCGATTGGTGATGAAACGTTTGCAATCAGATTATCCAGCTTAGCGAACAAAACAACGACCGTACTGCACTCTTGTAGGGCACAGAAGCTACATCGGCGAAAGTTACTAATTCACGGCATCGAAACTAAAAACCACTTCATTTTACGGTGACTGTCCCGTCGTAATAGGATGGATCTGTTTCTCACGTGTCCCGTACTTTTGCTACCCATGAACTGCAGTCACATCGGACCCACACATTGAGATCTACATCCGATTCCAGGAATGCAGACAATGTGCTAGGTTGAAACTGAACCCCTCCAAATCTAACCTGACTGTACCAACCTAGGTTCCCAGCTGTCCTCCAAGACGACAGCGCTACCCCGGACAGGCGATGGAACAATACAAGTTTGCAAAGTTCGGTTATAGGTTTTCGGGCAAGGCGACCGAACAGTTGAAATGGTTGTTGCTGCAATTGCCTGGTACTGAAGCAGCGTTTTCTAAGCACTGAGTTGTGTATTTTATCTAACCGTCGAATCTTCACAATGGGCGTTAGACACCTCTCCCGAAAACCCTCGAGTTTGAGGATATCTTGAAGGCGAAGCCGCTCAGTTTAACAACTACAAGTTCGGACTTTATAGTTTACTGGTTTGAATGCACAAATATTTGTGCTCAAGCTAGGTTCACTTCTCCTCCAAAAGACTTGCATAGAGGTGGTGCTAAAAGTTACATAAATTTAAAGGCTAATCAGTCCTCGCGAGCTATGAGACCTCACTGCCTTCAGGGACTATTTTGAAGATAAGTGAACTAGAAAAACCATCTTGATTCATCGATGATGAATCCTTATTAAAGTGTACAGAATTTCAGCCCGAATCCCCCTGGCTTTCGTGCAGACTATATAGTTCCCAGCGTGACATCCACTTCTAGTGAGTTCTTGTGCCTGCCAAATTTGCCGTCGGAACTCATTCTGTACACATTACATTTGCAGATGGGGCTGGGCGTTCTTGCTGGACGCATGTAATAAGATTCTCATCAAATGTAAAAGCGATTCCCCTTGGAGACTGTTTTCCAATTGTCCATACTTCATACTGACGCCAACGAGAAACTCTCGTAAAACTTACCTACGAAACGGGGTCGATGGAAGGCTTCTTCCGGGGAAAACAGCGTGTGAATTATCACTAGGATGTTCCAATAAGCTTAGTTCAGTAAACCAGTGCCGAGATTTGATATCCCCGCCAGTTAACGGTTTATACCAAATTCGGCTGCGCCACTACCGTTTGACATCTCCGGGGCCAAAAGTGAAGACACTATACCCTTTTTTAGTGTAGGTTAGTACTCCTAGATTGGACTTGGGCAAAACAGCTGACTGACAATCCAGGTTAGGGATATCTATTCAGCGTTAACCTTGGTCACAGAGTAGTCGGCTTCGTAACTGCATGTTGCGCACTTAAGACCACCCGTTTTTCCTCCAAACGCGTCCAATCCAGACGTTAGCGTCATATCTATCAGGGAATTTCTTCACTGACTCATGATTGATGCTTGTTTAGTATGCATAAACCTCAAAACACCTCTTCACGTACTGGCCACTCCGTTTACCTAATCGATGTCTGCACTTGATTTGCATTCGGCATACGGATTCCGGCTTCGGTACTCCGTGATCATTATCGTTGTGCTACCAACTGTGCTTAGCACTCAGTTGAAGGCTGCAATTGAGACGGGAGCAAACTGTGATTTATTTTGAGTCAATCGACCTGTTACAAGTGCATTTCTTGATGGTTAGGTAAATCGTCCATCCTTACAGAGAAGGTCGAATGGTGCAATCCAACATGGCTTTCACCTATCAATTGCTCGACCAATATTCTTCTGGTTAAGTTCCTTACTCAAGCCGAAACATTACTGAAAACTCTGTGGGCGAGAATACACCAAGAACACGAGTGTCTGGTTTGTAAACAGATCCTTCTAGTTTGTATTTGAGCACCCGGTGTGCCCAGAAATCGCTCGGGGATTTCTTCCCACTCGAAGCCTTTGAGCAAAAGAAAGAACTTTAGGTGACCATAATGCGCATGAGGCACAGCCTCAAGTGAGCCAAAGATCCCATCTGACGAAATCATGGAAACAGCAATGCGCTGGGCAGTTCGTCTAATTATTGGAAGCTCGGGTTGGGTAATCGGCTGTTGATCAGCTGGTAGTTGATCTGTTTGCTGTAGTCCATCATCAAGCGGCGAGACATCGCCATTGCGCAGCGACACATTGATTCATCTGAGTAGAACCTATAGCAAGCACCAAGGTGTTTCCTAAGTTTTGTGAGTAAACTGGTTGAGTTTAGTGGACAACTTCCTTTAGTTGCGTATTCATAATTCAAGTGTCCTAGACACCCGTGACCCTGAATAGTCATGTACAACATAAATATCACAGTATGTCTAGAAAGTCCAAAGTTTAACATGGCCCATGGTTTTGGTGCGACACCGGGGAATTCGTCTTTTTTAAAGGCTAACGTTCAGCAAACGTGTGCAGCTGGGCCGGAAACACCTCCCTAATCGTATAGTAACAGTTCACACACCAAGAACATTACATACCATACCATGATTCATACAGTCAGCAGTCGAGCAACGAGTCGTTCGAGCGCCATAGTAACGAGAGCCCTTAGGTTTATCTACACAACTCGTCCTTCAACTCATGTGAAAACTCGGGTTGATTGGTGTAATGGTGAAAATACCTCAGCCTTCCCCCCTCAATGTGCCTTTCTCAAGCATACTTCTTCGAAGCTCGCCGTAACAGTAGTACTCCGTAGTCATCAAGTTGCTGATGTATTTTCGTTCATACAGGTGAAATTTGCAGAACATCCGGTTTTCTTGAGTTTCTCTGGCTTTTTTTGAGTTTCAAACACGGAGTCCCCATAGCATCAATACAGATATCAGACGGTAACCTGTCTAAGCTTAAGTTAAACCAAGGCATTTTGTTTACTAAAATACTATAATGCGCACAACTGCTTAATTAAATTTAATGTCAATTATTTGAACTCCCCGAAAGGAGGCTCGTCAAATTTGAGTGGAGTTCATCCACTTGATCTGGGTGATATGGCCTAGCTGTTGTCAACAGATCGGCTGAAGGTGTCTTCATGAATATGATCCAGTGATATGTTCTGGGCCACTGGAATGATAGCTGACTTTAGGATTTACAGCTCAGAATAAAAAGTCTAACCTGCAGTTAGTCGCCGGGCTTTCAACACTACTCATAAGGTTGCTTAAAACTGTGGACAACCCACTACTGCATCCGCCCTTTGGGGCTTCCAAGGTAGGCCTACTTATTCCAACCAACATAGAAAGTAAATCTCCTGTTTGCTCAAATTTTCCTGTCTTCCCAGGTCAGACCTCACGCACCAGATATTTGAGAAACATTGGGTTAGAAACTGCTTCCCATGCATAGCATGTCGACTTAGTTCATGGTACCCAAGCTTTGGCCCCATTTTTCCCATGTACACAGTCACTGACTTGAAAGGCTACTTTATTCGCTTTACTCTTCACTTGGCTTGTGCTAACATCGTGTAAACTTCTGAGGATAAATTTTTTCCATCAGATTATTATTCTAGTTGTCCACCGAGAGCCTTTATCACGTTGTGTAAACGAATGCTCACCAGTGTGGCTCATCCGGCAGGTGGGTTACATAATCTTGTTGACTTACAATCCGAATGGTTTTGAGCATTGTACCTGCACACAACTCACCTTCACTTCTTCCATAGTCTCCTGGATAATTTTCGTGAGCCACCCTACGATTTACGGCCATACATCTTGAAATTAACTCAACCTATTCCTCTGATGCACTACTTCAAATATCCACACAAGTCCAGGCGGCGTATGCTGGACTAATTGGATGGCTTGTCAAACGGCTCTCCTAGACTTGTTCACACATTACTGAGCGGCTCACCCAGCTGTGTGTACAACATATCTATCATTCTTTTGAAAACAAACGCAACACTTGAACTCATCCTCTTCAGCAGTGGACTCACTTGGTGTCGAAGCAAATGTTTGTATGTCAATGTCAAAAGGAACGGTATTAAGGAATGACAACAACCTAGATGTCAGAAAAGAATAAAGAATCCGGAGGCGTTGGTGCTGTCCACTTATTTGCCCAATCATCTGAGACTTATTGGAGAAACGCACTCATTTGCAAATTCGTTTGGTGAATGCCGGATTGTACTGCACAAATGAGATCCTTTTTTCAGTTGGTTTGATATATGAGGTTTCAAAATACGCCTTGTTCACTCAACAGGCTACTCATGGCTAATGCGGATAGACTTAAGCATGTGAGTTGCATCTAACCGGAAAACCAGTTATGTGAAACTTGTTGTCCACTGGTTTACTGGCCCAGGAAGCAGATTAGGGAATGTCTCTCCGTGGTTTGAAAACCGAGAGCGCAATATCCGTCGGCTCGTCCACCTCAGATCGTCAAATGCTTCAATTAAGCGTTCCGTTATGATCTTGGAGTGCATTGTTAGAGGTTTTACACTGCTGGGGAATTTTATAGGGAATGCACCCCATCTGTGAGGATGCGTGATCCTGGTGGTCATGAACTGGCTTGTCCAGAACTTCTTGTGTTTTGTGGCCCGCACATCCTCGATAAGGGGATGGAACCGGAGTTAGGCCA